TCTTGATATCATCCAGATTACTACACATTCCTTGATATCATTCTCGTGACTACACATACTTTGATATCTTACACATGACTACACATACTTTGATATCCTCCACATGACTACACATACCTTGATATCATCCACATGACTACACATACCTTGATATCATCCAGACTACACATGCCTTGATATCATTCTCATGACTACACATACTTTGATATCATCCACATGACTACACATACTCTGATATCATCCACATGACTACATATACCTTGATATCATCCACATGACTACACATACCTTGACATCATCCACATGACTACACATACTTTGATATCATCCACATGAATACACATGCTTTTATATCATCCACATGACTACACATACTTTGATATCACCCAGATTACTACACATACCTTGATATCATCCACATGACTACACATACCTTGATATCATCCACATGACTACACATACCTTGATATCATCCACATGACTACACATACCTTGATATCATCCACATGACTACACATGCTTTGATATCATCCAGATTACTACACATGCTTTGATATCATCCGCATGACTACACATGCTTTTATATCATCCACATAACTACAATACTTTGATATCATCCACATGACTACACATATTTAGATATCATCCACATGACTACAATACTTTGATATCATGCACATTAATACACATGCTTTTATATTATCCAGATTACTACACATGCCTTGATATCATTCTCATGACTACACATACTTTGATATCATCCACATGATTACACATACCTTGATATCATGCACATGACTACACATACATTGATATCATCCACATGACTACACATGCCTTGATATCATTCTCATGACTAAACATACTTTGATATCATCCACATGACTACACATACTTTGATATCATCCACATGAATACACATACTTTGGTATCATGCACATGACTACACATGCTTTGATATCATCCACATGACTATACATACCTTGATATCATGTACATGACTACACATGCTTTTATATCATCCAGATTACTACACATGCCTTGATATCATTCTCATGACTACACATACTTTGATATCATCCACATGATTACACATACCTTGATATCATCCACATGACTACACATAC